TAATAAGAAGATATATATTAGATATCGATGAACTAAATCTCAGGAATGAAATTGGATTAGGTTAACGAGAGGTCTATATATCTCTAGGCATTAGGGTTTTAACTACCGAGCAAAGCCTCATTATAGAGTTTTCTTGCGCAGCTTTAGCAATCAATTATCGAAGAAGTCATGACTAATACTAATGTTGCTGCTAATAAGCCTACTTCTACTATCGAAGATGAATCTTCTAGTCTCCTTCGTGCATGGTGGTGAGACTCTATATCAATGATTTGTCTTCTTTTTTTTTCCTTTACTTTATTATGTAACATATATAGATTGATTAAACTGAATCTGATCCTCTTAAATTATATTGGTTGCAGTATGAACAAGAACCTACAATACAACTTTGCGATGAACATCTTCATGATAATCATCAACATCGAAGCAATCTTGTATATGAGAAACCACGAAATTCACGTAACGGAAGATTATTCCTCGTTTTTGACACTCTCCGCTATAATCATCTATTTGCCTTGCGGCCTAGGAAGTTGCATTCTTTGGGTTTGCGCAATCACGGATGTTTCATTATGTGGAGACGCCTACCTCTTCGGACGCATCAGTCACAACATGGGATTTATTTTCTTCCTAGAACTCCTCTATTGTATTTCTCCCTACTTGGCTCTACTCATTGGTCTACATGTAGGTCTACCTTGTTGGCTATGGTATGTAACTTCCATGATTGGACCGTCTCTATGGGAAGAGATGCAAGCTCTACGAAATTGGTGGAAGTTTGTGAATAAACCACAATCAGTTGGTAGCGTTCAACGAGGCTATTCAACAAAAAAAGTTTATTGAATTTGAAAGATTTTAATTGAAAACATATGGTTTTTTCTTAAGTTTATTATTTATTGTAGAAAATAAAAAGATTGAATAAACATTTTTTTTTTTTTAGTAAGAAAACACATACGAACAATTGTGCACTAGAAATTGGAATTTTCTAATGGGATTTTTTTTCCTGAGATAAATATTAGTTTGGAGCTTTGTTGTCACAGTAAAAAAGATTTCTTGAAGTTTAAATTGGGAATGAATACTAGTTTAAGGATTTTTTTCCTAGGTTGTTTAAAATAATTCTGAATAATTGTGATGACTTACTTTCAAATGAACCTCCCAAAAAAAAAAAACGATCGTCGGAAATTATAAGACCATCAAGTTCTCGGAAACATTAAGCTAAAGTCATTTGGTTCAAGGGCTCGGTGTCGAAGCACGCTTTCACATTTTGGACAACTAATCTAAACCACCTCCCAGTTAGATCACGTCTTCCACTGCACAAGAAGCTGAAAATATCATTGTGCTTATTGAGAATAATTTTGGATCTATATTTTCTAAAGATTACGAAGATTTATTTCCTAATTCCCCAATTGACCCTGCGAATCAAAGAGAGATAAAAACAAAACTCTAAACTTTATAAATTTAGATCATGAATGGCTAAAATCTTAAACATATTAACAAAACCCTACAAACTGTAAAACTCTAACTCAAAAGAAAAAAAAAATATATTCTCATTTGAAATACAATAATAAATTAAATAAGAAATATTTATCATAATATTAATTTAAATTATGTGCTTAATTATGAGAATGCCTTCACAAAAAGAAATATGCAACCAACAAGACTCCGAATGTTCTTGTGATATTTAAGTGTATTGAATGTTCGTTAGAACTCATAGTTAGCCTAAACATATAGTTTTGATAGTATATATATATATATATATATATATATATATACTAGATCATCACCCGTACTACAGTACGGGTTAAATTTTATTTATAACAAAATTTATATATTATATATTTTAGAATATAGTTGTGATATATTATAATAGTAATTGAAAAAAATTTAGATTTTTGTCAGTTCCCATATATAATATTAGAATGAATATATTTTCTTTTTTTAATTATACTCAATTATAGGTATATTTTTTAAGATATGAAAACGGAAAATAAAATTATTTTAATAAATTAATATGGTCTCAATAATGAGTTAATTTATATTAACAACTACAAAATGAGATTGCATATAATTCAGTTAGATCAAAAATCAAAATATTATAAATGAATCGCTTCTAAAACGTAGATTATTTTTAATTAATTAAGAAAGTTAGATATTATTTTGAATTAATTTAGGAAATTCCTTTTTCAATTTCTAATTCTTTGGTTGTTGAAATAGATATTTGTTTGAGGTAACTACGGAATTTACCAATTATTCGCGTAATCGAATATGTTATGAACATATATTTAGTATATAATATACTAAATTCAACATGTGCGTGAAGTCTATATTTTTATTTTAGAATCCTAATGAAAATATTGCGTGCACAATCTATTATTCGTTATTTTCAATATTTTGTGGTGTCAACTTTATTTAATCTATCTGATCATATAATCTTAACATGCCGTCTATTATAAGGATCATAATTTTATATCATATAATATATTATATTTAATATTCCACCTACTATAACTATTTTAAATAAAGGGAATATTGTTGATTTGGGCCTTTTTTGGTCCAAAAATTTGAGAAATGGAATGAATACCCATACTTACTCATTTAGATATTTTGGGCTTCGTCAAAAGACCGTTTTGCCCCTGCCTATTCTTCTCCTTCATTCTCTCTCGACACCAACCCTGCGGCTCCTCCGACCAAAATTTTTGATTCCGACCACAACCCTCCCTTTCTCAGTCAAATCCATCAACACCATATTCGTGCTCCCTCAACATCATATCGGTTACTTTCAACACCACCTCTTTTGTTTCCGAACACACAAATCCGAAACACAAAACCTCCGCCGCTAAAATCTTTTCCGATCCCATGAATTCAATCAATTGCGTTTTGAATAAAGAAGCTAAACCCTAGGGGATACTATCTAGTAAACCCAAGGGTTCAAATCGAAACGTAAATCAAATAAAAACTACTTAATCTATCTTTAAATCTAAACAAAATTTGTCATTGGATCTCATCATCTCCTCATCCGTCACTGGATCTCATCATCATCACCACCATTTTGTTTACAGTGTCTTCATCTTTGTCTCGTCTCTTGACCAACACCACCGGATCTTGATCGACACCATCATCTCCGACATTTTTCACAAACACACACAAAACTATGGGTAAGGGTAATGTAGACATTTCAAGTCAGGAGAAAATGCCTAAAACCTAATGCTTGACCGACGTACCGGAATTGGTAATTTTGGTTGGAATAAAGCACAACCCGGTAATTTTTTTAGAAAATTAAATTAAAGTATTTATAATTTATTTTTATTTTAATCTATTAAATATTTATGATATTCATTAAAATATTAAATTAAACTATTTTTAAATGTTCCAAATTAAAATCTTTAAAAGTATTTCTTGTAGTATATAAAATTATGAATTTCAAAAAAGAATTACATGAAATTAAATAGAAATATTCAAACAGTTTTTTTTTTAAAAACATCTAAATATTCAAACAGTTATAAGGATCATAAATCATTTGTTAATATAATATATTATATTTAACCCACCTATTATAAATATTTGTTTTAAAAAAATCAAATTAGAGTATTTATTGATGATATTCTTTAAATATTGATGATATTCTTGAAAAATATCAAGTAAAACTAATTTTATATGTTGCAAATTAAAATATTTAAAAATCTTATTGTAGTATATAAAATAATACATTTCAAAAAATAAATGTATGAAATTGAATATAAATATTCAAATTCTGACCCGTTACTCAGTCGAAATTTTTGTTGAACTTATTTTTGGTTAAAAGAAATAGGGAGACTCACAAAAATACCCTTTTTCAATATCCTTTTACAAAAATACCCTTTTTAGCTGTCTATTTTTAAAAATACCCTTTTTATGTACAAAATAACTAAATTACCCTTCTTTTAGTAAAATACATCACAAATATATAAGGAAAATACGAGAATGTGCACACATCAAAATTAAAAATTTGATTTTGTAAAAACTTGTAAAACCTTTAAAATACCTTGTAAAATGTTCCCGCAAAAAATTTTCCACCCAAAAAATTTCCCGTCAAAAATTTGTTTTTGCGGGAAAAGTGATATTGCAATAATTTTTGGCGGGAAAATTTTTTGCGGGAACATTTTTTGCGGGAACATTTTACAAGGTATTTTAAAGGTTTTACAAGTTTTTACAAAATCAAATTTTTAATTTTGGGGAGTCGAAAATCATGATATGATGATTTATTTGTTTCATTAAAATAGAATCATAAAAAGATGAGAGGTGAAGTATAATGATTAATAACAAATTAATATAGTAAGTTGGATATCAAATCTTATATGTTCATTTTGATTGGTCATTTTTTTTTTAAAGTTAATAATATATTTTCTTTTTTAATAATTAAATTGCATAAATTAGTATTTGTCTTGTTTATCTTTAATGAGCTGAATTGATTTACTCTTTAAATTTTTATCTCTAATGGCATTCGAATGTAATAACTTACAAAGGGAAAAATTATTAAAGGATAATTATAAATTGTACTCCTCAAATAATAGTATAGAATATATATATATATATATATATATATATATATATATATATATATACTTGTATTGTTTTGGTTCTAATGAATCGAATTTACTATGGAATGATTATGATTGTGTTTAGGCTAACGAATATGAGTTCTAATGGTGTGGTCGAGACTCTATATTTATAGTTTAATATCTAAGGCAAACAGTCATAATTATCTCTTAAAATTTAATTTTTAAAAATTAGAAATTTTTTTGATACAAATATCGGTAATATATTTAGAATTTATCTTACTATTTTCAAAAAAACAAAAGAAAGATTCCATATTATCCACACGTTTTTATCGTTTTACCCTCACAAAAAAATAGAAAATCGGATTTAAAAGTGTATTCATTAAGGGTGATTAAGAGAATTCATTTTAATATAATTACAAGAACCATTTTTATAATTATATAAATAAAATAAATAAACTCAATCAGGCTTGGAACGGGCTAGGTTAACAAGAATCCTATATATACAAACTAGGGTTTAACTACAGAGCCACGTATCATAACTGAGTTTTCTTCTACATCAATAACAACAAATCAATTATGGAAGAAGCCATGACTAATGATACTACAATCGCCCATGAATCTCCTAGCCTCCTTCGTGCAGTAAGTCTACATATTAATGATTTTCTTTTTCACGTTTTTTTTGTCCATTACTATATAATATACGATTGATTATATGAATTTAATCTTCTAAAATTATATTTTTATGGTTGGTTGCAGGATGAACAAGAACCTACGATACGATGTTGCCATGAGCAGCATCATTCTAATCATTAATATTGCAGCGATTGTGTATATGATAACCCACAAGATCCCCTTAAATAAAGCTGATCCAGCTCTTTTAATTTTGGTTGTTTCCATTATTTTCTACGTCTCGTTCGGCATAGTTAGCTGCATCAGTTGGGTTATGGCAATCGAGAATGTCCGCCTAGCATCTGAAGCTTACGTCTATGGACGTATAGGTCACACGTCTGGCTTTGGTATATTCCTAGACCTCCTCTATTCGATTTCTCCTCACTTGGCTCTACACTTCGGTCTACCTTGTTTGCTATGGTTCGTAGCCGCCATGATTGCACCGTGTTGTCCCTATCTATGGAAAGGTCTATGCAAAAGAGTGCAAGAACTACGAGATTGGTGGAAGTTGGTGAATCGACCACAATCGTCTGTTGTTATTGTTTAAGGTCGTCTTTTCTTGTTTAAGATGTGAATTTTAGGGTTTTTTTTTCTTTTTTTTTTTTGCTTTCTTTTTTCCTTTTAAGACCATCGATTGTAGTTGAAATTATTTGATAATCCTTAAATCACGTTTTTTTGGTAACATCTTTTATCATTTAATCAACTTGGAATATCAATATTTATTTTGTGTTCATGAACATTTTTTTGAGCAAAATAAAACTTTCATTAAATCGAAATTAGGGTTCATTACACTCTAGACCAAGAGCATTCTTTGCCAAAGAATCAGCTTGGCGATTATGATCTCTAGGAATGAAATTAAAAGAGCAAATTGAAAAAACTGAAGATAGAGCCAGGATATCGAAGGGAATCCCGTGGAGATCCTTTGAAAGGAGTTTCCGATTGAGAGCTTTGATAAGCACTTGCGAGTCTGAAGCGAAGAAGATATTGGTGAAGCCCGATTCGATTGCAACTCTAATCGCTGAAAGAGTTGTCATCGCTTCGGCCACCAAAGGAGATCGGATCCGAGATACTGCGTAGAGCCTTGTTGAGTGGTTCTTTCACCTTGATCTTTGAAGATCCATCCGAGGCCAGCCTTTGAATCGTCTTTCCAGGCTACATCTGTGAAACATTGGACGGTATGCGGCTGAGGCTGGAGAGGGGTCTTAAGTGGCCTCCTTAATGATTCTCTCGCTAATGGCTCTTTACGATTTGCTAGGAACTATTTCTTCGCAAATAGCATGTTTTCTTGTAATGCGCAAAAAAAAATATTGCCTGTCAATTTCTATATATATATTTTTTGTTTTAAATTCGAGTTTTTTCGAAGTTCTTTCTTTTATTTTTGGAACGACAATGTATTTCTCCCCCATAACTTTCGTATAGCCCCACTTCCACCCAAACTTTCACTCTCTGTCTTATTCTCCCCAGAATCATAGTTCTATATTTAATTACCCCCAAATCTTAAGTTCGAGACCTAGTTGTACATAGAGGTTGGTTTATTGGGATGAAGACGTAAACCGGATACGAAACCAAGAAACCCATACGTCAAACCGAACTGAAAACCAGAGTCGAGTTAATACCGGACTTATAACCCGCAATATCAACGTTTGTTTAAAAATCCCCAATTCCAGAAAACTAAGAACCCTAAAAAAAGCTCAGAATTCAAATCATCACATCGAAGATCCAATTTCAAATCATCACATCGAATCTCTGATTTCTTGTATCACATCGATATGAACAATGAGTAATGCATCCGGAATTTATACTTGAACGTCAAATCCCCAAATGCAAGTAGAGAAAGAGATCTTTGAGGAGAGGGTAGAAGATGTATAGTGAAAAGCGAGATTGTTGATGTTCTAGGTTATGTGATCATGTTTGGTTTGAATAAAGTGCTTGGTTGATTCAATTGTGATGTAATGCTCTTATTGAGAAAAAAAAAACAGAGACGCATTTGGTTGTTATTTAAAAAAAATGCATTCAACAGAGAGAAAACAGAGACAAAATGGAAGTTAAAAATGCATTCAATATGCATAATTTGGCTCAGACCAGTTCATAACAAAGACAACAATTAAGAAGCTTGAAAAACAAAGACAAATTAGACTCCAAACAAACCCAAGACACATTTAGTTTAAAAGCCTGAAAAACAGACATTAGAGGCAAGCTTCTTAATCCTAGAAAACAGACCAAAAGCTTTAACAAAAAAACAGACCAAAAGCTTCTTCTAAGCTCTATACCAGCTCAGTTCAACCTCATTTCCTGCGTGACAGTTCCTTGAGAAGGTTCACCTTGAGGAACCTGTAATAACAACACAAACAAAAGAGTTAAACAACACACATAAAACATAGTACGTAGACACATTAGAATATGAAACACAAACCTCTTTCTTCTTCTTATGAAACCTAGAGTTGTGATTAGCCTCACCACATACCCCACAATGCATAACTCGTTTTAGAAGCTTTGGTTGCTTCTTCAAAGGAGACTCATTTTTTCCTTTCTTTCTTTTCACCTTCTTACTTTTTTTTTTCCTGCCAGGCTGTGGAGGCTCAGGAGCTGGATGCACTTGAGGAGTTGTTCCAACAGGCCAAAACCTTGCACCTCTTAATGGAACAAGACCCTCTGTATAGTTCTTCTTCCATTGAGTTGTACGAAACCAGTGGCAGACATAATCCTCAACTTTAAGTTTCAACTTAAGGATAACACCATATGCATGTACACAAGGGATTCCTGTGATGTCCCATTTCCTACAGCTACAAGTCCTCTGATTCAAACTCACACGGTAAGAACAACCATACAACATAGCTAAAAACATCTTGTTTGTACTTCGGTGAACCTTAACTTCTGCAGCATCTTCAAGCTCTTTTGCAAGATATTCTTCCACATATGGTGTACATAAACCCTTGTGATCATGAGATTTAACACTTCTTTTGGCAATACGTACCATTGCAAGCCGAGCAATCATTTCTAACATAGGCACCAGTGGCTTCTCTCTTGCTTTGACTATCGTGTTGTTAAATGATTCTGTGGAGTTGTTCTCAACATCTTCAACATAGTGGCCAATTTTGTAGAAAGCTCTACACCATCTCATTGGGTTTGACTTCATCACATCCTCATAAACACCCATATCATACTGCTTCAATCTCTCTAGGTTTTCTCTATATTCAGCCTCATTATAACTCCATGCTAGATTCCAGATAAACGGCTTTATCTGTGATTTTTTACCATGATTTGCCTTCAAATTCCCATATATGTGTCTGACACACATCCTATGTTCAATCTGTGGTAACTCTATCTCCACAGCTCTAATCAATCCCTGTAACATAACCACAAATTAAAGCAGAGAAAACATAGTAGAAAAACAAAGTAATAACCAATACAAACATTAATACCTTCTCACGATCCGAGATCAATATGTATCCTTCACCATCTTTTAGTCCCAAATCAGCTTTAACCTTGTTCACAAACCACAGCCAATTAGGGCCATTCTCCACTTGGACAACGCCCCATGCCACTGGATATATAGCGTTGTCCGCATCTCGTCCTAAAGCTACTAACAACTGACCTTTTGTTTTTCCTCTTAAGAAACAGCCATCTACTCCTAATATCGGCCTACAAGACTCTCAAAGCACACATAGAATCTATTGAATTCATCTTCACCATTCTCATTCGTGAGGGTATCAATTTCCACCGTAGAACCCGGATTTGATTCTTCTATCTCAACACCAAAATCTCTAATCCGTGCAAATTGCTCATCATATTCTTTATCAATCCATTTCAAAGCTTTAAGCCTAGCATCTTGGCACTGAGGCCTCGATACACTAATCTTCCATTTTTGCATTATCAGTTCTTCAATCTTCATTGGCATAAAGTAAACAGGTTCATCCCGGATCTTGTCAAGAAATAATCTTGCAATTACTGGCACTTTCATCAGCTCACACTCCCCATTAACCGTACAACTATGCTTTTCCTTAAATTTCTTAACTTGCCACTTATCAGACTTAGAACTAACTGAGCAGTAGATACGCCATTCGCAACCATCAGCATTACAACGATACCCAAGCTTTGTTTTATCATACCTGTACTGCCTGATATTCCTACCCGATCGAAGAGCGTAGTCGAGGACAGCTTCTTTAAACGCGATTTTATTGTAGAACACTTGGTCCTTGTACAAATTCCCATCACCACGTCTGATATCAATACGATCTCTCCCCCGTTGAACATCTTCGTCTTCGTCACTATCACTCTCGGGAATGACATCGTGACGAATACACGGTTCATCGACGAATTCGTTTACTGCTTGCTCGAGGTTGAATTCACTTCGTGCGGTTTGGTCTTCCAAATTTTCATCATCGGGTTCCTCATCAATATGAACATTGTTCATCTCGATCTCGAGTACTGACATCGGCGAAGATAAACGAACTCGCGATTAGAGGTTTTGGGTCACTTTCTTTTCTTCGATATTGCAAAATCACGATTACGTGGGGAAGGGTTTTGTATTTGGGATTTTTCTTGTTTAGTGGATTTATGATTTGGGGGTAATCGGGTCTAGATTTCAAGTTAAATTGGTTTAGGTCCGGCTTAAGTTTGTTTATGTTGGTTAAAACTTGATTGGTCTACAGTAAACCAATATTAATCCAGCCCGATGTGTAAATTAATTTCGAACTTTCATTTTATGTGGAGATATGTATCAAATTTTAGATCTGGGGAGAAATAATTATAGAACTATTTTGTTGGGAAAAAATAGAGAGAGGGTGAAACTTTGGGTGGATGTGGGGCTATATGAAAGTTATGGGGAGGAAATACATTGTCGTTCCTTTATTTTTTATGTAACAAACTGAACATACTCTTTCGCTAAAGTTAGCGGCCTTATCCTAGATGGGTCTTTCCCAGCTATATGAGCCCACCGTCGCATGTCAAGGTCGGTATGTGCCGGACTAATTGATAGGAACTAGGCCCAAATGGAGTCCACAAGACCTTTGAGTAGAAAATTCCCAATGTTAACTTTAGATTTTGGGTGTCCTTAGGTAGTTAAAGACGAGAAAAGAAACAAAAACTTGAGAAGCAAAGTTAGTGGTTGGGAAAAACAGACAAGAAATCATATGCCAAAATGCTGTTGTGTACATGGAGATAATGTGGTAAAAGATATTGCGAGGTAAGTTGATTCACAATGTTGGTTATTAAAGATATTTTAATCCAACGATGCAAGTAATAATATAGCTATGATTGGTAACACGAAAAATGGCGGAATGACGTTTTATAATCCGATTATGCAAGAACTTTACCAATCAAGAAAATTTGTATGATATTTACCAAAACACAAACTCAGGATTTGAGTTTCGCCTAAAAAACTTCAAGTAAAACTCATTGTGCAGATAAATAAATGAGTATATAGTTGCTTATTTCATCACACGATTTTTCATTTTGCGAGTTTTCATTTTGCAAATTTTTATCCTGCATGCGACTTTTCAATATCCGATTTATATCATTAGGCGATTATGCGGTATTCCCAATCATAGCCGATATTCTGATTCAAAATAATTTTTGAAATGATTCAACCTAACATGATATTTGAATCATTTTCAAAGAATCTACAATATTAAATAAGTGAAGAACCAGAGCTAGATCTAAAAATCATACCATGTTAGGGTTGAATTCGTTCATCAGTTGAAGTTATTTTAGCTCCACCTTAAGCATCTCGAGTACTTACTGCTTCTCACTTTTTTACAAGATGCTTTGCATCTAAGGCTTATGCATTTAACCCTAGTGATCCAGATTTTCGATCTTTTCCCGTTCGAAAAGAGTTCTTTAAACTGAACCAACTTATGAAACCAAACTATAACATTTTTAAAATTTTGAATTGATTTAAATCATGCATTATTCTTTGGACATATGTTGTTAAATAATTTAATTGTAATTAACTTTAGGAATTTTTTTAACATAAGTAGATAATGTTATTGTTTCTCCTTTATCTTTTTGTATAATATATACTAACAAATCTTCTAAGAGGATCTTATCTAACTAATTAGTGATAAGCTTCCTTATCAAATATACATGTGGCAATGTGACAGTATATATGTAATTTGTTTCACAGGTAATATACAAACATGTGTTATATATATTTTATAAAGTAATAAAACCAACAAGTATTTTTCATTAATTAAATAATAAGAAAATTAAAACAAAATCTCAAACAAGCATGAAATGGGACTAGCTAGAAGAGACCTATATATAGTAGGCATCATTAAGATTTAACTAAGGAGCTACGTCTCATTACATAGTTTTCTTCCGCGTCATTAGCAATCGAAGAAGACATGACTAATACTAACGTTGCTGGTACTAAGCCTACTGCAACAACCGTCCATGAATATCCTAGCCGCCTACGCGTATGGTGGTGAGACTCCATATCATTGATTTGTTTTGTTCGTCCATTACTCTATATTGTATTATGTAAACTAAATTGAATCCTCTTAAACTATATTAATGGTTGGTTGCAGGATGAACAAGGACTTACGATATAACATTGCGATGAACAGCTTCATTTTAATCCTCAACATCGCAGCGATATTGTATATGATTACCCACAAGATTGCGGTTGAATCAGATATAACTACAGATTTGCTAATTGGTTTCGGTGTTTCGTATATCATTTGCGTCCTATTTAGTTTCATAAGTTGGATTGTGGCAATCACGGATGTGTCAGCATGTGAAGTAGGATACTTTTCTGGATGTGTCAGTCACAACTTTGGCTTCGTTGTTCTCCTCCACTTTCTCTATTGTATATCTCTCAACTTTGCCCTACTCGTTGGTCTATTATATGCTCTACCTTTTTTCCTACGTTTCCTATGCAAAGCAATGCGAGCACTACGAGATTGGTGGGAGTTTGTGAATCAACCGCAATCAGTTGTTGTTGAGGGGGTTATATGCAATAAAAATAATTTAATTGAATTTGAAAGAATTCAATTAAATGCATAAGTTACAAATTAAAATATTAATAAAGACTTTTATTTTTGTAAGCTTTTGCTATCGAGATTAGATTTTGTAGAATAAATATATTAGTTTGAAGAACAAATGATATTTTATATGATTTTTCTAAAATATGTGAATCTTGAAGAAGAAAAAAATATTTTCTATATTATTTGATCTCGAGTAACATACTTTATATGAGAACCCACAAGATTCCCTTAAGCAAAGCTAAATTTGTTTTTCCAACTTTGATAATTTCCATTTTTAACTACGTCAGTACCGGCATACTAGCTGCATATGTTGGTTTAAGGCAATCGAGAATGTCTTAGCATCTAAAGCTTACTTCGTGGGACGCATATTGTAACACCCGCGTCCCGCGATCCTAAAGGGGGCCGGTTTGTTTTAGAGAAAACTAGATCAGTAGTGTTGGTGAGCCGGAAGGGAATTGAGGCAAGAACGCGATTACATGCTTGGAAACCAAAAGAGTTTGCCAAGATGAATTGGTTAAGCCAAGATGATTACCCAAGGGGCAAGAACTACACGTGTATCAAGTGGATAATTATTCGGAGAGAAGGGCTGATCATAAAGTTGAAAAAGTTAGGCTAAGTGTTTGGCGGATAAGGAAGTTGAGGTGAATGAGATTGATATGCTTGAGGAAAGGTTACCCAAAGCATGATCGGGCACCAAGATACGAGCCTTGTAGTCAAATGACTTAATAAAACGAGGAAAAAGGTATTGATCTATTCGGAGAATGACCAAGATCAAGGGAAGTTAGATCTCGTCGGAATTTGACAAAGATCGGGAAAGACTTGATCTATTCGTTGAAAAGATCAAGGGGTATTGACCGAGTCCGGTAAAGGACCAAGGTCGGAAATTATTGACTGAGTCCGGTAAAGGACCAAGGTCAGAAATTATTGACCGAGTTCGGTAAAGGACCAAGGTCGGGAAAAATGACCAGGTCCGGTGTGGACCAAGGTCGGGAAATTATTGACCGAATCCGGTGTGGACCAAGGTCGGGAAAAGTGACCGAGTCCGGTGTGGACCAAGGTCGGGAAATTATTGACCGAGTCCAGTGTGGACCAAGGTCGAGAATAGTGACCGTGTCCGCAAAGGACCAAGGTTGGGAAATATTGGCCAAGTCCGGGTTGGACCAAGGTCAGAAATTTGTTCTAGTCGGAATTAGACTTGGACGGGTTACATTTGATCGAGTCCGAGAAATGGACCAAGATCGGAAAAACGGATCGAGTCCGAGAAAGGACAGAGATCGAGAATTTGATCGAGTCCAAGAAAGGACCAAGATCTAGAAATTTGATCGTGTGTCGGAAAAGACCAAGATCGGGGAAACTTGATCAAACTCGGAAATAGATATTTGATCAAGTATGGAATCTAAAGTCTTGGGAAGACTAAAGATGGGAAAATGTTAAGGAGTAACTCTAACACCCGCCGAATTCGAGGACGAATTCATTTTAAGGGGGGTAGACTTGTAACACCCGCGTCCCGCGATCCTAAAGGGGGCCGGTTTGTTTTAAGGAAAACTAGATCATGGTCGAGAAAGACCAATGAATAAGTTAACCCAAGGAAGGAATGAAACGTTTAAGTCATGAAAGGGGTAGATGACTTAGACGGTTTCGGGATAATCTAGTGATCATAGAGAAATGATCTTGGAAAGATTAGGAATGGCGAAGTCAAGGCCGAGAAACGGACCGAAAGACTTAGCCGGAAAGAACGGACAAAAGTGTCCGAGTTAATCCAGCTAGGTGAGCTGGACAAGATGGACGAACTAGCTAGCTCAGCTAGGTGAGCTAAACCAGCTGGAGGACTAGCTAGCTCAGCTGGGTGAGCTGACCGACAGCTCAACCGAGCTCGGTGAACTGATCGAGTACTGACCTAGCTGGGTGGTCCGGTCAGCTGGTGGACTGTGGTAGCTCGGGATGAAGAGGTGTAAGGTCGAGCGGTTACCGACGAATGGTTACCGTTGGCCAAAGGGTGGATAAGGTAAACGGTTACGACCGGAAAGACGCAATCTTCCGGAAGGGTGTAATGAACGGAGGTGATGTTTCGGAAACACACCCATTCGGCCCCTATATAAGGGAGGACGTCCAAGGGCTTTAGGGAATCCACACACACTTCACAATCACCATCACAACCCAAAAAGAGTCCCAAAACACTCTACGAAGTGTTGATCGGAAAGGGGGTGCGGCTCGGCGAGTATCTCCGGAATCGGAATAGATTCTCGAAGCCTCGATCGTCTTAGAGACGGATCGGCGGACAGATCGGATCGGACAGACCGATCGTCGGACGGATCAGATCGGATAGACCGATCGTCATACGGATCGAATCGGACAGACCGATCGTTGGACGGAAGGATCGGATCAGAGAAGAAGACGGATTCGGATAGACCGTCGCACAGACGGATCGACCGACCGGGATAGGCGGATCGATCGTCGTGTCAACAGGTCGGGTTAACGTATAACCGGATCTGTTTACGATCGGATAAACGGACCAAGGCTTAGATCGGCGGATTGATCGGTCGTATAGATCGGCGGGATGACCGACAATACGTATCGGAGATCTGGTCGAGGGAACATGGTGGATTACTCGATCGAGGATTCGATGAGAACCGCTGAGGGTTCGACGACTTGATTGATGGTTCGGATCGATAGCTCGATTATAGGGTCGATGGATCGTCCGTTCTATAAGTCATATCGTCGAGGGAAGGACACAAAAAGGAAATGGATCGACTAATCTAAGATTGTCAATATGGAAGTATCGACGGATCTAACGATAGACCGATAGATGATATGGTTAACGGGATGTTAATCGGGAAGGCGTATAAGGGAAAGGTGTTCGAAGAAGCACGGGGATAAGTGCAACCGAACACACCCAAGAGTCGCCCATGGATGCAATCTCACCGGTAAAGGGAGTAAGCACCGAGAATGGGTAAGTGACGTGGTTCACCATGTAAGGATCTAATATCGCGGCCGCCTTCATGTATCAATCGCCATGGCCAATGGTGAACCCGATTGGGAATCGGTAACACCAATGGTGACTCGACGGATAACCAACGGGAAAGTCCACGGTGAGAATCGGTGGACAAAACGGATGTTGGACCCGCGAGCAAACCAAAGGCCGATGGACGAATGATTTCATGGGCTAGCCTACGATAATCCGATGGATGAATCCACGGACCCTTGGGTGTGATAATGATATTGTTTGGATCACATGGATGGATCGATAAGCTGAAGGCTTTACCGACCACCATGGACCGGACGGGTAAATGGTTAATAAACCGTCGGCGGTCGTAGTGATAAACGACCGGATCGGAAACATGGATGGTTCGTTAAGCCGAGGGCTTGATCGTCCACCATGAAACCGAAGGGGCGTACGTTTGGAGGACGGATGGACCAATGAGCCAAGAGCTTGATTCGGCCACCGTGAACCAAGAGAAACGTACGATCCCCAATCTCTTTCGTGGGACTTAGACCAGTGGGGTTAGTTGGATGTATGGCTAAGTAACGATAGAGATTGGTCCATCAATACACGATTGGTTAAGAATCGTTGTACGAATGGAATAAGGCGACGAGAGGGCTAAGAGAAGGATCAATAGACGGATCGAAGAGGAATCAAATCCGCATGTAGGCCAAGGTATGTAAACGCATCTAACTTATTAGTTAAGATAGACGTTTGGGAATTGGCCGTTGGATTAGGGATACAAAGAATATGCAATCGTTAGACTTAGAATGGTTAGCGAACAAATTGCATGACTTGGCCGAGTTAATGATCGATCTAAAGTCTAAGGGACAAAGATGATCAAACCGGTACAAGGTTTGGTTGGAATTAAACCAAGGGTTGAAAGACTTCCGCTGGGTACTAAGAAAGCGATTACAGAAGTAAACCTCGTAAAGGCAATTCTATGTTAAATCGCGAAAAATATGGAGGTTCGGCCGGGAAGAGGCACGAACGTGTGACCATGGTCGCCGGACGCCGAGACGTCCGGGACGGGGTCTCACACATATGTCACACGTTCGGCTTTTGTAATTTCTTCAACCTCCTCTATTCGGTTTCTCCTCACTTGGCTCTATACTTCGGCCTCCCTTGTTTGCTAGGTTTCGTAGCCGTCATGATTGCACCAGGTTGTCCATATCTATGGGAAGGCCTATGCAACAAAGTGCAAGAGTTACGAGATAAGTGGAAGTATGTGAAACGACCACAATCCTCGGTTGTTATTGTTTAAGGATTTCCATTTTTAAGATGTGAATTTTAGAACTCTTTCATTCTTTTCGATTTTTAAATTGGAATATCAACATTTATTATGTGGGTTAGTTATGTGTGTTCATGATATACAAATCAAACAACATCTATAAGGAGAAGTTATATTGATCATCTTAGTTTACGGGAACATGAAGTTCGGGTCTTTCCGGCAATGCCATCGATATCCGAGGCGGTGCAGTTTCTTCATCAGACGAGAAATCAGAGAGTCTCATATCCTAATTTTTCAACAAATAGAGAATAAAGGAACAAGTTATATAGCTTCACATCACCCGAAACATGTTTTAGGTTTCAATATCAAGACAAGATCATATTTTAGAATTCAAAGAATATTGTTTCTCACCCTCTCTTGCCTGCAACGTTGTATAACAATGAATGACTTGACAAAGACATATGCAATCAACAAGATGGCTAATGTTCTCACTAATGGTAACTGCAAAAGACAACACATTCTTTCTCTAAATCAGGAAAACAGAGGAAATATGTATGTATGAACAGTTTCTTATCGAGCTTACCATAAGCAAAGTTAACGAAAAATCATCGACTCCGCCTAGTAAAACTGGAAGAGAATGACGCAGGAAGAGCAGAAGGACGAACTGCACACGAAAGATGAAAAAATCATTGTGTTCAAAACAGAATTTTGGATCTATATGTTCTCAAGGATACAGAGAGAAGAAACATACTAGCAAGGCAATTACGCGGCAACAAATCAAGCTTGTGGGGCTATGAAATGAGTAAAGATCGTGATCATCATCTGCATGCCCCCACGTTAGGAAATAAGGATTACGAAGATCTAGTCCCTCGATTCCCCAATCGCTACTGGATGTTTCCATCAAAAGAAAATGATTCTCAGTAGGATTACTACATTGTGCAGAGGAACAAAGGAGGATCCCAAAGAAAGACGACCAAAAGTACCTGAAGTTCATAGAAATGCCTGTGTAGTGAAACAATTGTCGTGGGGCTGTGTAGCCAGGTTTATATTGCTGCAATTTGAACAAGGTTCATCAAAACAGAGAAAGAATCAAGAAACTATATGATTGCATTGCGATATATCATTTATTACCTGACGACAAATTTCGCATATGGTATCACCTTTCTCATTGCACCATCTCTGGACGCAATTATGATGTGCAAACTGCAAGAAGTTGATGACAATAAGAATCAAAAATCAGAAAGGATGCTGTTTGTGGAAAAAAACGCAAACTAAAGACAGAACCTTTAATGTTCCAGAACAAGAACAAGGCGTATCCATGTTGGAATCTTCATCTTCATCATGACAAATCCTACATTGTACGAATTTACTCTCACATAAATCAGCTCCTGCAGATACAGATTCAGGTGCACCATCTCCATTAACCAAGTCAGTTTTAACCTCTGTTCGGTTCACCGTCCCAACTCCCGAATCGCTTGATAACCGATCAACCACCAACACTAAATGATCTCCCATCCTAATTCTCACCACCAGAAAAAAAAAAACAAAATCTCCAATGATATATAGAAACCAAATGTCAGAGAAAATCAATCAGATACAACAACATCATAAGGAATTATCATCAAAACATGAACAATAAACAAAGAAAAGACAAAACATCAAGCAAACTAACGGAAACTTGAGAAGCAAAGTTAGAAGTTTGGACAAAACAAAACAAGAATCTCATATCACAAAAATGTTGTTTTGTACAAAAGATTCTCTGCAAGAAAAGAATACATAAAGGTAACTTTTACATAATATTCTTTCCCTTTCTTCTTCTTCTTCTTCATTACAAATTTTCATTACATTCCAGAAATTGAATCAATCATCATATGTTGTATGAGGAGAAGCAGTACAACCAGAATCAAAAGGATCTTCAGAACCACAACAATGCCAATATTGTAAAACTTTTCCTGAATTTGGTGTATCCATTGTTCCACCAGTATATACACTCTCAAATTTCCTCTTCGTCTCACCTAAAAAAAACCCCAAAATTCAAAATTTCTTCATTACTAAACCTAATTACGAAATCAGAGAGTGAATTTACAAATTTTACCTCCGTAATGAGCAGTGTGGAATCTACAAGCGCGTGGATTGTTGAGGAGAGGATCGAATTGGGTTTTGCAGTTTTTGCAAGTTCTTAAGGTTTTGGGTCCGTCGGAAGAAGAAACTGAGCATTGTAAGAGGAATTTTCGTGAGTTCAGTTTAGGATTCTTTAAGGTTTTGAGGGAGTGAGAGTGAATTAGGGTTTTGGGGATTGAGAAAGAAGGAGGAACTTGAAAATTTAGAAAAGCTTGAGACATTGTGTTCCGTGTTCCGTCCGATTTCATTGTAGAAACATGAAATATTATTCTATTAAAACGGTTATACAAAAGTTTTTTTTTTTGCGCTTAAGTTTAAAGTTTACATCGCAAATTTTGGATTCCTTCTTTATAATCCGGCAAGACAAATTCTCAATAACTTCCTCTCGGAGATGGAGATGGAGATGTCGGTAGAAACATGACTTTGAAACACTTGGATCAATCTCGATTATATCTGTGTTGTAGAGACATGAAGCGAAATCGAATCAAACCGAGTAGAACCGCTCTCATCTGAATGAGAAGGGTAAAAGATCTAACCGGTGATAATCCATATTCCATAACAATCTTCATCAATGAAGGGAGAAAAACTTGGTAAAAAAGTGGATATTTTTGGTTATAATTTTGAACTATTCTAATTTTGACCCATAATGTTTTAACATTATATCCAAAAGTGGATATTTTCCTGGATAATTTTGGTTTCAAACCGACCCGGAAGAAACTGAACCTGAAAGGTAAAACTCGATACGAACTGAAATAAGGAGAAAGCGAACCAAACTCGACCCGCATATTATAAATACATGAACATGGTCTATGAACCCAAACCCGAAAACGCGAAAACCCAAAAACCCAAACCGAACCCAGCTGGAGCTCTCAACATATCGTTCAAAGAAACACGACCCTTCTACGCGTACATGAAAATCCTAAAGCCCAAAACCTAAAGGACTTATCCAAGTTTACATAATTAAGTTTCCTAATTGGATTTGACTTCTTCTGCAAACCCACGAGTCTTCTTTCCTTTTTCTTCAAAAGCAAGTTTCCAAATTTCCTTGTCTTTTGTTTAAGCCCAACCGAATTTGTCTTTTCAACTTTCCTACGAAAAATAGGTTAAGTTCACAAATTCCCTACTAGACATAAACCATTTTTTCTTTTCTTAATGCGGAAAATAACATAACCATAGTGTGTTTATTCCATAGGTTAAGACTAGTTTCCTATTCTTGATAGAATCATATCTAGGTAAATATATTGATAATTATCTTAATACCTAGCAAATCAATTATCAGAAATATAAAGAGCTTTACATTACCAAAAAAAAAATATATATATATATCAATAGCTTTAAAAATTCTTACTCGAATCTATTTTTCGAGTAGATTTAGCTTAACATGTTGATGATGGATTTTATTGATCTTGGCTCCTTGTACTTGTTTATAATCGCGATCGGTTCCTTGTTATTCATTGCTTTAGCTTATGTTTTCTTGATCAACTATATACTAAATTTAGAAAAAGATATGCTGAGGAATAGAAAATTAGCCCGTGCTTCTGTCATGCTTCTAGATCAAGATGTTCTCGAATGCCCCATTTGCTGCGAGCCCCTCAAGATTCCTATATATCAGGTTACTAGATTCTCTCTCTGTTTTTTCTTTTTTTGTTTCTGTTTCTGTGAGTGTAACTGTTTGTGATAATAACACCGGTTCTTAAATTTCTACAGTGTATTAATGGTCATCTGGCTTGTACTCCGTGCTGGAAAAAAGTTAAGAGCATCTGCCCGTTCTGTCTAAAACCGGCTAAGTACGACTTTCGTTGCAGAGCCATGGAGAAAGTAATTGAAGCAGCAATGGTATCATGTCCAAATGCCAGTTACGGGTGTAAAAAGTATGTCTCATACACAAATCTCTCTAGCCATGAGAAGCAGTGTCGTTTCGCACAATGTTCCTGCCCAATGCGTAACTGGAACTATACCGGCTCATCCAAGGATCTCTCCAAACACGTCCGTGCCAACCACAGAAATGGCCGGCAAGGAAAATTCAGAAAGTGAGTGATCAACATCCCGAAGATGACAGTCACTTATGTCCATTTGTATCAGCCCCGGCGATATCCATCTTACTTATGATTGAGAAAATGTGCATTATTTTGTGCTTTATATAAACTTACGTATATGAAACTTGATTTCAAGAACTAACTAGCTTGATGGAAACAGTGTGATCCTTAAAAGAGAACTGAACAACACAATATTTATTTACATGGCAAATTGCTAAACTCCTAAAGCTAAGACACTGATTCCACATTCCCTATTTTG